CACGCCTTTTATACGTCTTTCAGACAGTTCCTATTGAGGTCCCTAAAGTTTTTTTTCATATACTCTGTTCCTCCCTACTGCGCTACATCTGGTCCTCTTCACCTGCACGGCTCCGATACACAGTCCTGACTAGGAGCAAACAACAGGGCGGCGTTGGGCTTCCGCACATTGAATTATACTATAAGGCTACCCACTTAACTAGACTTTTAGACACTTTGTTTCATGCACCTCACAAGCTTTGGGTCCAATTAGATAGCCTTATCTCGCCGATCTCCCCCTCATCCCTACCATGGATATCCCCATCCTCTCGCCCTTCTCGCTCCTTACTCCCATTCTGCCTGCCCCCCTTACTACGAATTTGGGATGCCCTTCTCAAAAAAACATCCCTCTCTTCTCAACCAGGCCCTCTCACCCCCATAAACGGGAACCCAGACTTTCCACCCGGTCTACAGGGCTCGAACTTTCTGAAATGGGGCCCAGATCAATTCTCCCCGATAGTTTCAGCCCTGCAGAAGGATGGATTATGTCCTCTATCTTCCTTGGTTACTGACTCCGCTAGAGCTCCAGGCCACTGGTTGGCTTACTTTCAATTACGCGACTTCTATTCTAACCTTCGGCTTCAGTGTGATCTCCATAGAGATCTCCTGCCCTTTGAGCAACTCTGTCTAGACAGTGCTGCACCACGCCACCCGATCTCGACCATATATCGCTTACTGCTCTCAACCTCTTTTACGGACCTACCTAAATATGTAGAGGATTGGGCCAGGGAGATGTCTTGTTCCTTCTCACCATCCGATATATCTAAGTCCTTTATTTTGACTCATAAACTTTCAGTCGCTAGTACAGTACAGAACGCAACTTTAAAATCCTCTCCATGTGGTACCTTTGCCCCTCCTGTCTTCACAAGATCTACCCTCAGGTTTCCGACTCATGTTGGCACTGTCACTCGCACCCAGGGACAATGCTCCATATTTGGTGGACGTGTCCTGGCATATATATACGTTTTGGTCCACTGTTTTGGACACCTACGACCAGCTTACCGGGTCGAAGTCCGTCCGAACCCCACAGATGGCTCTCCTTTCCATGATACCAGGATCCATTGCTTCCTCCAAGAAGGGATTACTCTGCTTTTTCCTTGTGGCAGCTAGAACGGTCATACCGAGACATTGGAAGTCTTCGGTCCTCCCGACCATGAAGGAATGGACTGAAGAGATGCAATTTATTTGTCGGATGGAAGAGCTCACGGCTAGCATTCACGAGCGGCATTCTCAATTTTCTGAATTGTGGAATGTGTGGTTGCACTTTTGCACAACTGACAAGTTCCGCTTATTGTTGTCAACCTAACTCTCTGTGGCAATTAACATATATATATACCTTAGAAAAAACAAAAAACAAACAACAATGAATAAACAAATCATTGTATATATGTATGCTTACTACAAAAGTGGGGGAACCGGACCCAGGAGCACACCTTCGGTTTTCCACCTCTTTGTCCTTCACCTGTTTCTTTTTTCTCTCCTTCCTCTCTCCTCCCTTTTCCATGACTCTAGATGCCTCAGGGGTATGTTTGCACCGCACAAATGCTGGTCGACAACCTGGGAGTTGTAGGATTGAGTAAATATTGCAAGTCTGATGCATACCACATGTCGACCCTTTGTTATCTGAGAGTGCTTTTTTTGATTTTTTTGTACTGTCTTACTAATATTATTTGTCTACTGGATAAAACTTTAATGAACTTTAATCTTTAAAAAAAAAAATTAAAGTTAAAATTCAAAATTAGAGTAAAGATTTTAGGGGTGCTGGGTTATGTTTATTGGTTAAAGCTAAACTCCAGTCAAACATAAAGAATACAAATGAATGCAACCCTCTAATTATTCATCAATAATTAAATATTTTTTTTTATGCAATCAGTTTCAATTTCTTAAGTGACCCTGTTTTAAGCTTTTTACAATATCCTGTACAACAGAGCTCAGACTAGGTGAGGGCGAAAAAGCACACAAAGTGAAACAGTTATGCAGCATTGTTCGTGAGCTAAAAAGGAACATGCTGACAGAAGGGGAGAGCAAAATGACAGAGATGAGCTTGTTAGTGTTCTGCTTGTCCTTTCACTGCCCGGTCACAAGCTGAGGGGGTCAAGATCTATAAATATTAGCAATAGTGCAGTAGTGAAAAACAGGTCTCCTGCCTTGCCGAACAGAGCTGTGATGTGTAGCAGAGCTGTGTAAATAGCAGGACTGAAATAAATATCCTTTTGCAGGTTAAACAGCTTTCATAAATGTATTTCCTCTGTGTATTTAGTAGTTTGCATGGCGTTCAGCTTTAGGAGTGAATTGTAAGGGTTAGATTTTAGGATAATTGTTATGGCCAGATTTTATGGCACAATAATGTGACCTCAAACCAGTTTTACCCAGATTAGGCTATTTATATTGTTAATAAAGTTATTAGGATAATATGTGTATATAAAACAATATATTGTGTACAGATAGGTTCTAATGCTGTTAGTATCCTGTGATAACATGGTATTGTGCCAACTATTGAGAAATTGTAGGGCGGTTATCGTAATTATACAAGACTCAGTACTTTCACATAATAATGGATAGCTCCTCCCTCTAGTTTCATGTTTGTACAACACGTCCTTTAATGGCAATGGTTCACCTTTCGTAGATGTGGGTGAGACTGGCAGAGTTTTATTGGATTTGGAGTTTCCAGAGGTAATCAGCCCATACATTTGGAGCTATGTGCTTCATGTTGAGCACCCAGTTATACTATCAAGCATTTTCTCCAACAGCATTTCGTACAAAGCCATTATGTCAGCTACGTATATGACACCTAGCGGCCTATTTATAGAAATTATAAAAGCTATTTTGCCTTGCCACATTGCTGTCACACCACAGGACACTGCATTTGTGACTTAAAGGTTTTTCTTAAAAATGCAATGTTAAAATACGCAACGTGAGCTTAATAAAAAAGGAAACTTATTATTAACTTGTAAACTCTAACCAACCAAACATTCATTTTTTTTCTTTCTTTTTTTAAATTTCCCTTGTACATAATTGGGTTTCGAACCCAGGTCCACCTTATTTACTGTCATTCACTTTGAAAAGTGGACAGCCTCTACTCCTTTTGTAAATCATAGCATGTGAGTTTGTCGGGGACAGGAGAGCTGCTGATTAAATATGCTGTTTGCAAATAAAGTAGATAAAGGATTTTTTTCCCACTTGAAAATATTTTTTCCCAGTTCTGTTTCCCATCTGACTCTGACTTGTGCTTTCTTTATATAAAGTCTGCTTATAATAAAGTTATAAAAAGATAAATGCCCTCTGCTGGCTTATTAATGCTTCTGATGAACTGTAATATTTCTTGACTAAAATATACATGTGATGCTATAATACATTGATTTACCTGCTGGGTTTTCAAAGAAACGTATATAGACAGATTGGGGTTATTTTCGAGTAGCAAAGTAAAAAAGCAAGGGAAATTAAGATAATGAATTTTTGCTAGCATATGATTAGACGAATGAAGAGAACTTTATCTTACTCTCGTACTATGCACAGTGAATATTCACTTTAATAAGTGACTAAGTGACCACATTCTACTCTTTTAGTAAAGTATTACACTATAATATCACTATTGAGAGATGAAGAATAAGATATTAAGTTAACAAACGTGATAACATGTGGATAATACTGTGATGCTAAAAATAAATAATTTGCATACAACGAAATACTATTCTGACAAATAGTGATTATGTAAAAGGCGCTAATGAATGGAGTGTTAAATGTTTTTAATGGTTTGATATAACAAAGCTGTTTTTTTATATATATAGATATATGTATATAGATATATATATATACAGGATTACACTGTGTTTTTGACGTGCATATAAGATCATAACACTATTAATGAATCTGTGTATTTTTCAGTAACTATGGTAATTCTAAACAACCACATCAAGTATATCCTGTCTGTATGTCATTTAGATATGTATAGGGTGGATATAGAAACAGAATGCGCCCTTACATACGGTTAATTCAAAAGAAGGCTTAACACTAGTTAGGCTCCAGGCTTAACACTAGTTGGAAAGGAAAGTCCAGAGGACTTGTTTATCACTTTGCAATGTGTTTTTCAATATTACAAATATATAAAAAATACAACATTTTGGATTTCTAAAGCTTCTTCTTATATATTATGACAATACATGAAGAAGGAGCTTTAAAGCTTCAAAAGTTTGTATTTTTAGGTAGCCACTTGTAAAAGCTTTCAGCTCCAGTTTGTAGATGTGAAACACAGACCTTAATCGGAGGGAGGCTGTCACTTTAAACAAGCTGTTAACAAGCTTCAGTAAGCTTCAACACTTCTTGACACTTGATTAAGGGCCAATTCATACTAGTGAAGCTCTCTGCAATGCGAATAAAGTACACGTGTTAATGCATGTTGATCTGCCTTGCGTTATGGCAGTCCATTTATTTGAATTGGATGCCCAACACACCACGATAAACTAAAAATCATTCCTGCAGCTTGAAAAGTGCATTATTACAGTAATGTGCACTTGTGTGCATGGACGCTGAAGCTTTCTAAAGCCTGCTGAAGGTTGCCTTCAGTAAGCTTCTACAAAGCAGCCCGAATCTTGCTGAAAGCTTTGCAAATGCTCTGTTAATGGTTTCTTTACACACTGTTCCTGTACAAACTGAAACTTGTGTTTAAAAGGCCTATCAGGAAGCAAAACTCTTACTTTAGCTGGATTGGAGGGAAGTAGTGCTTGTTCCAGGACACATATTTTTCATAGCATTCAACCATTACCCATAATTGAAGAACGAAAAAAAAAAAAAAGAACTTCAATTTCTAATACCCTATATTTAGTATAGAAAATGAGCTGGGTGATTACTGGATTACAGGTATCGTTATCCTGTAAACGTAATTAGTAATTAACTATTCCAATGTTTTTCTATTTACAGATAAGTAAACAATGATATAGAGTACATCAATAAGCATGACCTTACCTGTCAACAGCTATGGCAAGCAGAGTATTTGTAGAGACGTAAAGCGAAACAGTTCTGAGATAATTGACTGATGCGCAAAGGATATGGCCATGTTCCCAAGACAGCTGCTTCACTACATAATAGTCCATCTCGAAAGGACAGCAGACTATAGCTACGATAAAATCGGAAATGGCCAGATTGGCGATAAGCAAGTTGGTCAAATTTCGTAGCTTTTTGTATCTGGCAAGTGCTGCTATGAAAATAAAGTTCCCAATGCCACAAATAAGCATAATGCAGATGAGAGCCACTCCAATGACTATCTTTGCAGCGTAAAATGTCGTTGTTTTGGTTACATCATCGTCCTCACTAAATTCATAATCACTGTAGGTATAGTTCAAGGGGAAGGCATAGTTTCTTGACAAGAATTCTTCACTTTGGATGTAATTTGCAGCTGCTTTGTCGTAATCCATGTTTGAAGGCCAACTGATCTTCTTAAGAACTTATGAAGGGAAACAAGGACCCGCCTTTTCTGATCAGTGATAACTTGTAAAGAGTTGACTTCGAGTCTTGAGAAGCCAAGTCATTTCTCAATTAAAATAATTTGAGAAGGGCTAAAACTCTTTTCTGATCCAATCCTGGTCTGTAACAGAGGAATGAGATTTTATTAGAGAGCATACAATGATTGGTAATGAATAATCAGTGACGATACGCTACACTATTCTTCAAATGTATTGAGGTAGCGTAAAACTATTTGAGACAATACCTAAAACAGCCTTAAGTTTTCTGATTTCATTAGGTTGCAAAACTAATTTTTCAATTTAGCTTACACTGAGGGTAGCTTTATATTGAGTGGACACAGCAGGTAGTAGGTGTGGCAGGATATCATGCCGGTTTTTACCATTGTGCAGCAGATCTATGCAGGAGGCATTTACAGTCAAAAACAAGTTTAAAAAGAGTTTTTCTACATATCCCTGATCCTCAACCTTAACTTGACCTATAATCTAAAACCTAACCCTCCCCTCACCTAAAGCTTAAAGGTTAATCTAACCCTAACATTAACACTTAACGTTTTTAAAGTTATTGCTGTCTGTGCTCCTGCAGGGGAGATTCACCTACAATGTTTGCCCTGGTGACCATTGAGGGAAATTCAAAATGATACAGTTTTTACCAGAACAAGAGATGAGGGGAATCTTGCAATGGGGACACTAATTCCACTGACCACTATCCAAGAGAGATTTTCCCTTCACTTTTGAGAGATTTCTTCTCCCTTCCTGTTGTGTCTCTGGGACAAGAAGTGAAGGGAACTCTCTCCACTGTGGCAGAGAGTGTAAAAAAATGCCCAAGGTGTTCTAATCATTCCCTACTCTATGCAGAAAAAAAGGTTTTGGATTTAGATTTAACTTAGCTGTCAGTATTTATCAGTACTTAGCTGTCAGAAGGTGTTCGTTACCCATCCGTCAGAAAACCTATTACTTTGCACCCTTCCTATATGACAAAAATGCCAAGCAAAGACTGGCAAGTTTATGTTAATTGACCATCCTATTAAATATAAACAAATTATTTTGGTACCTGCTGTGGCTCACTAACTCGGCATGTGCAAAGACAAAGTTTGGCAAGCTCTGTTCTCCAAATTATATTTTTTGATGTATATAGAAATGTTTGGAACAAAGAAAACATATCAAACATAATGTCTTTTAGTCTTTTGTTAATCTAAGAACTATAGCACATAAGTGTTTAACATATATTTTTACTACAAGCTTACTTAGTAAATCAGAAAATAATAGCCCATAGCAGCTAATCAGAATTCATCATTCACTATCTACCTGAATTAAAATGACACTTGATTTGTTGATATAGTTAACTCCACTTCATAAATTACTGCACTTTGTTCATATTAACAGAACAGGCTTACCTACAAAATAGAATACCTCTAGCAATAGATAGAAATGAAGACATCTACAGACTTTACAGGACAGCTGGTTGCATGCCTGATCTGACTGTTGAATGTTTTTTCCAGTTAGAGTTTTTATGCAAAAACAAATGCATGCTTCAAATGTGAACATGCATACTTTGCCCAGT